GACAGACATTCGAATATTTAATCGATAAGTTCATCATGTGACTTCAATTCAAATATTTAAATATTTAATCGATGTGTTAATCGATATGATAAAATTACAAATATGAATTTTGGGGATATACCGTCCTAACACTTTGAGAGGAAATTTCCAGGGTCCAAGTTAGAAGCCGGGATCATTGGAGTTCAACCGTGTCTGTTGTCAGGAAGATGCTAACTGACAATAGACAATAGACGTTCTTACGATATAGTGAGTTGGCTGAATTTAGACATATACACCACTGGATTTCTACTTAGTGGTCTAGAGGTTAAGAAATCGCATGCGCTTCCGAAGGTCCTGAGTACAATCTCCAGTAGCGATGTAGGTACTCACTGATGATGAGTTTCGTGATAGGATGAAACAGCTTTCAGCGCTTCTAGGTATCTCATCCCCGTCACCATCATAATGACATCGTAATCGATGGAATAAACAATTAAAATGACGGAAATTAAGGTCTAATGAGTCAATCATTTCCTGAACTATATGAGATTTTCATAAGGCCATATTGATGAACAAAAATCAGGTGTTTGATTAATCCTACTTAGGATCCGTCTACTGAGTAGGCATCGTTATCTACTGTGGGACTGGAATCCATTATCTTTGAGTTCAAACACCAATAAGTTATGCACTAAGCAACCGTTACATCCTTGATCTGTCTACCCAATAGTATACAGAAGATATCGATCTAGATTAAGTCTTTGAACAATAGGCTAACTGGTTTAATTTTGAGGTTGATATGCGTGAGTTCAAAGTAAGACCAACTGGTTTGAGTAAGGAGACGAAAATTATCCTACCACCTGATTGGTTGACAAGTGAGAGAGATTGAGTAGACTAGTCAACTGGAACACTACTCAACTTATTTCTGATTACAATTTTCAATTCCAATTCAGATCAGTCATCTATTTAGTCATGTATCTTACATGACTAAATAGATGACTGCAATGACCACAACGAACAAACAATTAGAAATATACAATTATGTCTAGCTGGTCATTAGGGTGGAAAATTAGAGTTCAAAAGGCTGCATTTAATTTACAATGGTTTTGGAACAAAGAAGGCTATTGCAATGAGTCATACATCAAACGAAAGCTTATGATTTGAAGAAATTATGTGAATATAAAATCCCCTGTTCATTTTTCTTGTGATTATCTCGATTTCCCGGCGTAATGTGTTTTTCGGTCAATTGAAGCTAGACCACCATGAGAAACCTGGGATCCTCAATGGTGCTCATCCATGATCCCACCTCATGAGATTCGAACCCAGGACCTGTCGGTCTCCCATGTGAGCGCTTAACCAACGGCGTTAATGTCTAACTTCAACAAACCCACGAACTTGCACCACCGTCCACTGATAGGTTCTGGGTCTAAATCTCGCGAGGCGGGATCATGGGTGCGCACCACTGAGGATTCCAGATTTCTCTTGGTGGTCTAGCTTTAATTTACTCATAAATTCAACTATTGAAATCTTTATTTGTATTCTTAATTTGTATCATTAGGATTGTCGTGATTTCTTACTTCAAGTACTTAACAATTAGATCATGAACACAAATTTTGAAAATCACGAATCACTTAGCAGTTTTTCATCATAATCTTAGGAACTCGTATAGTGTTCATCTAATACACGAACAGGATAGAACCATGAATTGCTATTTGCTATACTATGAGTGTGTTATTTTCAAGTTCAGTCACTTATCAAGCTTACTATATTATATCACAGATTGAAATCATGAGTCAGTTGAAGCTAGACCACCATTGAAAACCTGGAAGCACTGGACGGCCGTTTCGTCCTAGTATGGGACTCCTCAGCAGTGCGCATCCACGACCCCGCACCACCCGGGGCTCGAACCCAGGACCTACTGGCTTCGCGCGCGAGCACTTAACCATTAGACCACGGTGTTAATGTCTAACTTCAACCAATCCACGAAGTTGCGCTACCGTACACCATTGTCCTCAGTGAGTTCCTATCTCACAACAGACCTGGTTGAACTCCACTGGTAACGACTTCTCACTAGAACTCCAGAAGTGTCTCCTGAAGTCAGTCACTAGTGAGCAGGTGATTATTATTATCAGAATGGGTTTTGTGGAGATTTTAGAAATTTCACAGATTGAAATCATGAGTCAGTTGAAGCTAGACCACCAGTGCTTCCAGGTTTTCAATGGTAGTCTAGCTTCAACTGACTCATGATTTCAATCTGTGAAATTTCTAAAATCTCCACAAAACCCATTTTGATATATTATATCAGCCAATTTTAGATGTGTTCTCATTCATAAGGGATTACCAATTATTTTGTAAATAATTCTTCGCGGTTTAACACAGTTCATATGTATTGGTTGGATGAATTTAATCTCCATGAAAACAATTACCTGAATAGAAGAAAATAAACTCTTCATTTGTTAGTAGATAATATGTTTGATGATATTCTTATATTGGATTCAGTCATAAAGGATCAAATTGTTGAAAACAAGCATTTTCATATTTAATTTGGCATTATTCATTACTTTTCGAGAAAGTATCCATCACTTACAGATACTTCAATGAATGGTTTCCCCAATATACTAACATGGAATACGATTAACATGAAAACCACTCATATAAGCCTTCTACTAAGATTAACTATTTCATCGTTAATTCGAATGAATCTTTCTTAATAAATAGCTTTGAAATATAATCTTATTTTGTAGACCAATCTGTTTGGTTCATTTCTAAAATTTGTTTAATGATAGTTGTATTTAGTGATTTCTTGTTATTTATAATGAAGTGACTTATAGTGCCCGATTAACTCATTATCACTGTCACAGATTGTGAAACTACATAACATAGCTATGAATCCCATGTAAAACTACAACTTTCTGAAAACTGAAACCTGGTCTTGCTAATATATGTTAACCAACCTAGAAACCTAAGTGAAATAGATTTTCTTGCCAATTACATTCAACCACATAATAAAATGATACTCAGGCTATTTATCACTGATATATCTGTAACTATAAACGAATGAAAAAAAAAAGATTGACTATTAGAATAAAGATTATTAAAGAGTATAGATTTCGATTTTAATTCAACACTCTTAATCTAATCAATCTTATAATAATTCTTATCTTCAGTGTATATGTAAAGATTTTCCCTTAAAAACAAACAAACAAAATAATCACCTTTAATTACCATATTAATCGATATGTTGGAGACAAATGAAAAAAATGAAAAAAAATGACAACAACAACAACAAGAAGAGAGTATGGCCAAGAAAATGTATCCTTCAAAAGATAACATGGATCAAATATCGAATCAATAGAGATCAAGTTAAGTGAGACAATACTCATATAATGTTCTATCGATAAATAATGAATAAAGGATACAGTATAAGAGAACAATTTAGGTATGGATTAATCAAATTTGACTAAGGGATTTCTTATTACTTAAGTGATGTTGAAAAATTAATGATTTTCATTGTATATCAGATAAAAGGAGCTGAAGAAATATCTTTGTCAGAAAGGGGGTTTTATGGAGATTTTAGTAATTTAATAGTTGAGTTCAGGAGTCAATTCAAGCTAGACCAACATGGACGGTGGTGCAATTTTATGGATTGGCTGAAGTTAAACATTAACACCGTTGGATGCCGGCTCAGTGGTTTAAGGGTTAAGTGTTCGTGAGTGAGAACGATAGGTCCTAAGTTCGAATCCCATGGGGTGTGGTTGTGGATACACATCACGAAAGAGTCTAGGTTTCTCATGGTGTTCTGGCTTTAATTGGCTCATGAATTCAACTATTAAAATATGTTTGTATTGTAAGTTTTTAAATCACTAGCATTCAGTGTAGATCGTGTGTAATTTGTAATCTTAAACTTCCATGCTTAACCAGAAACTATGTTGGCAGTCCTAAAGTTACTTTTGCATCCTTATGAAAGGTTTAAGAGGATAGATTTTCTGCATCCATATTAATGGGTGTTTTTCGATTTACTGACAGAAACTTCCATAGAAGTCAATGGGTATAACAACTATCCTACGACCGATTTCGATTATGGTTAATTTTGGTTAAGCCTTTTTATTAACTTAAAAGACAATGTCATTTGAATAGTAACAATTCACATACTTCTTTGTATCGTTATGATCACCACAGGACATGACACACTCTAGCTAAAATGTTGATCTCTTAAATATCACTCGACGGTGATTCGTTCTTCTCCTCATGCATATATGTGCTCAAATCCTATCATTGGCTTTTGCTTTGCCTTGCTGTGCCCTTATGCGATTTGACTATAAATTTACTTAGGTGATTGCTTGCATATACTTATTCGCCTCTCCGCTTCAGATTTCCTCGATGTGCTTATGGTTTTGTGATCTGCTCTATCCGCTAATAAATTGTAGTTGCCGCTACATTTTGCCTTCTGATTTCAAACACCGTTGAGGTTTATATAATAACGGTTACAAGGGTGATTGGTTAACGAAGCAAAGCCACTACATAAGTTCGATTATTATGTATAAGATTTGTTTATGATGAGGTTATAACAAGCGCAATGAATTTGCAGACAGTTTTTAAATATCACTAGTTGAAATCATGAGTCAATTGAAGTTAGACTACCACGGGAAACCTGGAAGCACTGGATGGCCGTTTCTTTCTGGTATGTCCACAAAATCCCTTCTGATAGTTCTTTGATAAGCAAAAATCACTTTACAAATGGATTGTTTGTGGAAACAAAAGTAATATGATTTTAAAGTATAAATAGGTTTACCATGTTTAATGAATTTAATGAAGTCCTCTAAATCTCCATATACATGTAAATGGAGAAAAATTAATATATATTCGCCCATATGGATATAAAATACTTGTCTTATCTAATGTCTTCGAGAACTCATAATGACTTTTAGGAATCTCCAGATTGCCACGGTCATTTCTACGACTTTCACTTTTATACAATAACTTTTTCAATACGTTTAGTTCCAAGATAATATGCTAAACAAGAATAATCAATTCTAAAGATCATTTATATAATCGTTATCTAGAACATAATACAGATTAGTAAGCATATTTATAAAGAAAGGTTTCGTTAAGTTCATGGGCATCTAGTAATCACAAAGACGATGATCTCGATGCGTAAGATAGATTGAGAGTGTGTGGTGTATGTTACTTCAGTTAACAGATATAAGTCGAAGTGAAATGGTTGAGAAGATCGAATCGAGGAGAACAGGAATGTAAACAGAGAGTAACTGTAATAAAAACGAGAATCAAGGACTGACGAAATTAATCAGAGTCGGTTGATGGGAGATGTAAAAATGAAGCATTTAGTGTATGGTTTTTATATTTCATGAAGACATTCTGTAATATTGTAATAACTAATAAAGTGGTCTTCCCCACAAGAGTGTTCGTTCACTACAAGTGTAAAACGCATTTCCAGTTTGGTTTTGTCACAGAATCTAAAGTCTTGAGTAGCATGCAAAAGACAATAAATATTATAGTTTAATGAATGTATGCTGGAACTGAATAGAGTGTTGTAATTTACCATGATATCGGAAGTAAAGTTTCCGATAGCCTTATTTACAGTCTGATGATATCAAGTTAAAGTGAACATAGTATTGTGTGTTTATACTACATATCAGTTGGAATAAAGCTTCCAAAATAGCATTTTTGTCTATGCTTTATTGAACGTACAACTTCCCGCAACTAATAGTGCTACTAACAACATTAATAATAATACTGATAGCCAATTCCTAACTTATTGATATTTCTTCAAAATGATTTCTCCACCTAAGATGAAGGAAAGTCAAATTAGTCTTCTCCAGTTGTAGACAAAATATAAATAAGTATTTTGGGTGAATCATGATACATATTCATCTAATCTAAGTCAGTCAACTCTGAAATGTTATGAATTAAGAGAACCGGTTGTCATCTTATTCAACATCTGATAGATAATATTACATTTTTCAACTATCATTTTGTTCAAATTACATATGATTAGGTATGATGATATTAATTTATAATTTGTGCATATGCAATCTATTTATAACGAATCAAAGAAACCTGAAATTTATCATCCTAACATTTTGTAACTTAAAGTCTATTCACCAATATATGATCTTGATTGAGAAAGCATGTAAACCATTGTGGTGCGTGCTACTTATATTGATATAAGTGGTATATGACGCGAGTCAGGAATGTAATATCTGGCATCAGAAGATGGCGAAGATCAAGAAAGGAAGAGCGGGAATAGAAAGCAATGAGTATGGAAATGCAAGAACAATGAAGTTCGAGACAATTATTGAACATTTTGCAAATTAAGCATTATAATATGGTTTTTCTATTTTACCAAGTAACTCTGTAATTTTGTGCTGAATACAATTCGATTGTCCCCACCCGTGTTCTGTTCACTACACTATGTGATTAGGATAAATAATTATCAAATTAAATAATATATATGTAATGATGCTTTTAACGAGACATTTACAATAGTTTAACGGTAGTATTGTTTTTGATTAGCTGATTGATGAAATGAGCTTCTACACTGGTGGTAATAAAAAATACCGATAGCGTAGTGAATAAAGTAAATGATGCCAGACAGTAATCCGGATAGTAAGTATAACTGGAACGTGTACTAAATGTAAGCTGCCCGAAATCAATAGCAAGCTGAAAAAAAGAATGGAAAACAAGAGATCATAATTTATCTAACAAGCAAAATTATTGTAAAATATGTGAAATATTGAAGTAGAGACAAACAACTGTGTAACAAGTTTACTAAAACAAACTTTAACCAAGGTAAGAAAAGTTTAGTTCAGAAAGGGTTGAATTACAATACATCAAATTTTTGGGCGCCGAAATTCTTCATACCGCTGGATTCATCGTCTAAAACATCAAGACTAAATGAAGAAACTCAACAACAAATAGGACAAGTGGTAATGTTCTTGGGTTGGTGTAAAGAAGACTGCTTTCGATTAAAGGCATGAAAACGGAAGGCTTTACGAAAACAGAAAACAAGGAAAAATACAACCATGATCTTTCCTAACAAGGAGAGTACCATAATAGTCATGAGTGAAAGGACTATATTTGAAACGACAAGATGTTACTCAGAGATGATAGTGTATATTAGCAAATGGAAACTAATCCCAACCAAAACTAGATGGCAATATCTATAGTACTCTAAAACAGACTAATCAAAGATGGATGACTAACAAGGAGGATTCATAGCTAAGAAAATCGAATGGACTTCTTATTTCCCACTTTCATGGTTGACCGAAATTACACAAGATGTACATTTCAAAAAGTCCTTACACTTTCAAGGACATTTTGTGTTTCAATAGAAATATCAATGGTGTTGAAATATGTGATGAACTCATTCGACTACTGTATCAAATGTTCAACACAATTCCTAGATAAAATGAAAGATATTCAAATCACCAACAATAAATTGATTTCTTTGGATGTTACAGCGTTGTTGAAGTCTTATTGATCTCATAAACTCATGTCTAACAACATATTCCCGACTGAACGAAAAATATTTGTGGACGAACAAAATAAAATCCATTAGGATCATAGATTTCCGGATTAATTGTAGAAGCTGTTATACAGGGGATAGTAACTCCGGTCTTACCAATGATAAAACCAGAAATCCGAATACATTGTGTAGACAATACATTCGATATCGTCGAATGAGTTCATCTGAAAAGTGCTAATATTTGATCAACAACGTCTTTGGCGACATAAAATTTATATCAGAAAAGAAACGATACAACGAACTTTCATTTTTGATCAATAAGGGAAAACTGACATTTATTGACGAGCATTACACATCTAAAAAACATTAAATTATAGTTGTAAAAACTTAATAAGTTAAAAGTTGCATTAAAACAATTTTTAAAAGAATAAAAACATAGTACAATACAACCATTACAAGGAAAGTGAAAGAAAGTACCTAGTGGTTGTATTTAGGCAGGGTTGATAACCACAAAACATGATTGAGAAATGTCTATCGAATGGAACATCAAATACAAAACTTATAGGAAAAACAAACAAACGGACCATTCTACCCTACATGTAAAACATCTCAGAGACTATACTGGTTATTAAGACTGCTAGGAATAAAAGAACACAATGACAAACAAAGATAAGACAAACATTATCTACAGGATAGATTACATTTAATGAGGCAACGAAACAACACCAAGTTCCCAAACATTCATTTACGTCTACATGAACACCAGTTCACTAATAAATGCTACAACTCAGCCTCCCCGATATCAACGCATATAAACAATTATGGACAAGAGTTAGACTGAGAGATCGTTTAAATAATGAATGGAGGAAACATAAAGAAAACCAGAAGATTCTTAGAAATCTGACAGTCTGATCATGTACCAGTTCATAAACATAATGAGGTCGACTAATTCTATGAACCAATAAAAGATGATAGCAATAACTTTATGTTAAGAGTTTAAATCAGGAGAGGAAAAGATCATTACAAACGTGCAAATATGACCATACAATATTTATAACCATTAAAACGATCACAGTGTTATTCATTTTTAACTAACAATGCCAAGATCATACTAGTAGCAGTAAACACAAGAGCACTTTTACTTACCAATTTTTTTTTACTTGACCTTCACCTTTTTATAATTGGTTACCACTACAATTAGTTCCCTAACCTCCTGTATGATAGGGAAATCTATGCTTTCTTTACTGGACATATTGAGCTGCATCATTCCAAGTTGTTCCGTTTGAATATCAAATTTCTCCTAAACTTTCTCTCTTTCTTGTGTTGACGCCTTATTGCTAAAATGTTATCTGCCAGACTCCAGTATCAAGTCAGCAGTTGAACTATTCTTTAATTTGAAAGTATCGTAGGGTAACCTGTGAACCCTGATAAACAACAGGTTTATCGAATCTTAGATCAACAAAACAAGTTATTAGACACTGGGGAGAAATTTTGAACGCTAACTTTTTTTAAGTAGAGTGAGGCTGAAGTTCCTTATTGATGTGGGCGAGAACGATAATGATTGGTTGTCTGCTAAGTCAGACATGTAGATAGTCGGGCAGGTGTCAGATGAGTTATATATATTCCCCTATCCTTATAATTATTATTACTGGTTGTTCATTGTTGTTGGGTTGAAAGTTCAGTGTACCAACTTGTCACTGAAGTGAATTTGTCACAATAAAAACCAATGAATAACCGATAATCATGATGTTTATATATATCGGAATGCTTAGGATATTATTCATCAGGAAACGAGTACAAACAAGATACTTGATTTATACTAGTTCATTACAAACATATTAGACATCAGATACAACTCTAAAAATACGATTTCTTCAAATAGATATAACTATTAATCAAACTACATAGCTGTCACTTTTATAGTTAATATGATGTGAGTAAATGAACGACTTACTCTATTCACTAATACCTTCTATCATTTTAAATCATTTTGCAAAATAATGACTATAAACTCACAGGAATCAATATGGGCCATACCCCGGCCGCATAAACAGCCAAAGCCACCTATGAAACATAAAATACAATGAAATTAGTAATTGTGAAATATCATGTTACAATAATTTGTGACCAATTAACGATTATGTGTAAACGTCTGAGCTGAAATATGTAATTAGTGATCCAGATTAATAAATTCTTTTTAAGATTTAGAATGACTTACCTGTGTGTAATCTGCTATAATAAGACCGATAAATACTACTGTGATTGTGGAAAGTTCTGCAACACAGTAAATAATTAATACAGTTGTATATTGACTTAAGTCAGTCTTTATAACTATACCAATCGGAACCAAAATCGAATGCAACACGAAAGCAATAACCCATGCTATGCCTTTTACTAGAAGTTCCACATTGATGATAGAGTATCCTTGAGCTGCAGATATAGTCAATCCCTATTTAGAAATTCGAAAGCACTTATTAAATATATGTCCGAAGCATATGGGATAGTTATGAAATGTATTTTATAAAAAGATAAGGATACATTTCTGACACTGTCTAGCACATACACAAATCCATGCAGTGCAGTTTCTATAACAGAGCCAGATTGACTAGATAATTCAATGACATCTACTTGATGAGATATTTTGATTATAAATGAACTCAATATTCTATTTTAGCCCTCTGTACTATTTAGTTTTATATTTAACAAATTTGATCATTTATTTACTCCATGAAGAAAAGACTGGAACTAATCACCGAAACGTCATAAATTCTAATTGTTGAGACATCATAAATATATCCATATGGAATAATTTACACACACGCCTATCTACGTCAGTTGTTACTAAAACTTGTAAAATTGAGCTCACAAAATATGTCAAACTGTTGGAATTATTTAGCTTTAACTATTTATAAATGAACAATAGAGTTCAACAATAATATTTTCTTTCAACTGTTAGATTGACACCTGCTATGTCTAGAGTTATATGTACGAATTCCTATGGCTTCAGCTATATGTAGGAGGCAGGAACGAACTCCGTTGGGAAAGGATGGAACTATACGATAGATCATACTGTAGATAAATCAGAAGCATTTCGAGTATGTCTAGAGTGTTTGTTCCTCTATTACTGCATACCTTTGGTTAATTATATTACAGCATAAACAAAGTAATATCGAAGGGCTATGTTGAAGCAATTGAATATATGGTAGATGTACTGTGGTAACTACATCTAGTAAAACTGATTATTTCTCAAGGATTTCTAAGCAACTGGAAACGACTTAAGTCCCATGTTGTTTTAAAAATCTGTAGATTTACACATGTACTAAAGTGCTTTTAAATGTCGTTGCGTCTTTAATTTAGTTGCACTGTGAATGTACTATAGCTAAACTCAACACAAACTTGTAATCACTAAACACCTCGATTAACAAACACTCATCAATTTTGAAATAGAGATGATTTCATTCTTAAAATAAAAATTATGTGACTTCATGAAAGTTACTGCTGAACATGATTAGGTCAACATTAATATTACAGAATAATGTATGTTATAAGATGAACTTATGATTGTGAAACCATATTTCCCTGATGATTTGAACACATGTTAACTATTATCAATGGTTCAATCATGGGGACTTATTTCTTTGTATTTGAAAAGAAAAAGAAAAATTATGTTTTGTTTTATAATTTGCATCCCAACGAACCAATATACATATACATAATGAAGTAGACATACATTCCTTTACTGGTCTAGTAACAGCTAAAAAGAGTTAACAAGGGGGTTTGCACTTCCAATCAATACATATATATATTGGGTTCTGTTGTTAAATATAGTTCAAGATTATATCAACGTCATCTCTTTGAATGAACATATTTCAAACATGATGATCTTTGAAGTTTCAAGTGCTAAACACTTGAAAATAATTTCATCAACTATATCGATTGGAAAGATATAATTATTATGGGTAATAATGATTATCAGTGAAATAATAGTTTCTCACGTATAAAATTAACATTATTATATTCAGGGGATTCGTTTCTCTCATCTTCCGTAAAATAACCAACATCAATCCTAGAAAAAAACCAATAATACTGAAAAAAAAACATTATATTCATCATATATTTCTTGTTATTTGTGTATATTTAATAACGTAGTGAGTAGAGCATCGGAATACTTCATAACAATATTAAGAATATGTAAGTAGACTGACTTGATTTGAAAGATATAGATAACAATGATCAATGTTGTGTAAATAATCTGATTGTAAATAAAAAAAACACCATTAACACCTAGTTTTAAATCAATGTTTATAGCTAGAACATCGGTAAACTGTGTTGTCCTCTTATAGATCTTATCAGTAGTATAGATCCCGTAACAGTGGATCTAACTCAGGATCAATGGGAATGCTTATAATTCTTCTATCATCAAATAGGTGAGTACGGTAATGAGTTTTTAATGAAGATCATATGTGTTATATATATACTTGTAATCCATCAAATTAATTATGAAACATATCACCTTCATTAGGAACTTATTACCGTACTCATCTATTTGATATGATGATGCCTTGTTCAAAGTGACTTGTTCATTTCGGAGTAATTTGCAAAAATTACTCAGTAAAACCGATTATTTTTTGTTGAAATGGATCTGGTGGGACAGTATACGGTTTATTGTTAAAATCTTAAAGCTTAAGTCAGATTAGTTAAGTGGAATACTCAGTAGTTAGATGAAAAGAAATACTTTGTATTTTTCAAATTCCATCTTAATTTGAGATATAGAAATATAGAATTGTAAATCATTGAAAAATTGGTTTTACATCAGAATATCTTGGAAAAGAATGTATTGTCCAAATTTAGTGGCAAACGATCATAAATTAAAAGTTGACCTATTTAGAAGCCAATATTTAAAGTCCTGATCTATAAGGCAGAAATTATAACAAGTTATATATTTCAATTCATGTGGCTACGTGATCAGAACCCCGTTACGAAAGGATCCGTTCTATCATTGAACGAATAAGTTTAAATAATTTAATTACTTATAGATTATAATTTTAAGTCGGAAAAATGTATGAAAAGGGTGATACTTTTTCAAAATAGAAATTTTCTTCAGTCATAAGTTGAATTGTTTTCTCTTATATTTTACGTCCAGCTGAAACGAAAGATTTTAAGAGTAACCGTCTTGTTTGCAGTTAATTCGTGTCCAATCAGTACATATCTACACTTGTTAACTTATTGATCCACACTTTCACATTACATCATATGTTATATTTGTGAATGATTGATGACAAAATATCTTCCTATTCAACATAACTTCATACATTATATAATGGGAAGCTTGAAGATTTAACTGATGATAGGTAAACTGTCACTTGATACTTCTATTCCTTTGATAATATAAATTGTCTTGTAACAATAATCTTGTTACAAGTTCATAGACTCCACTTGTAAAGTTAATTACTTTTAAGAGAATAACGAATATATTGTAACATTCTACTCTGGTTAACTTAAGACAAACAAACATTTGATTGGTTTTATACAGATTTATAATGATTTAAAATATATTCCAGTAGGATACAACAAATATTAAATCTGAATATGTTCATATACATATTTGTGTGAAAATTAATATAGTAGAATACGATTTGTTCTTCCATACACTTGTAGTGACCTACTTTTATCAAGAGAACACGATTGGTGTAATGGAAACAATTATTATTATAACCAATTATACCACGGATTGTTTTATTGTACTTGTTTGTTTAACTGTACCAAAACACATACATTCTTCCGTTGATTGTGACCTTGCACGAATTCGGTTACGCTCAGTAACCATACTTGTAACCTGACATGATCTCTGTATTCTTTCAATACTACGAGATCGCCAACAAATACATCTTGACTACAGCCATCAACTGCCTTATGATATTTGGCCTACAGAGGATCTTATCGGTTAACAGGCACGTATTCTTCCTCTAGTGGTGATCATAGTCAACCGTGACTCGACGCCCCACTACATACTGATGATATTTATGATTATTCAACTTACATTATGAACAAAATCTGTATTATCTTCAGTTGAACAATTAAAAACACGTTAAAATGTAATGAAACCTATCTGAATGATGTAATATAGAGGTAGCTTACTTAATGTTATAAATTACTGTAATATTATGTTCATTAATAATAATATGATGATTGAATATAAGTACATTATGTAAGTAAATTGAACATACTTGAATACACTTGTGAAAATTGTTATACATGTATCCGTTTTAAATTCTTTACTTCTAATGAATAATAATTTTGATCATCAATTAGCTTACAACAAGGATAAAGTTAGTGTAACAGTGATTGATAAAACTGATAGTACACTAGTAAGTATTAAAACCTAAAATTCAATAATAATCTCAACTGAAAACAAACCATCGCAGTGTATGGTAATTTGGATTGTAGAGCATTCTGCTGAAATATATGCTTTATTCTGAAACCCATATTGCAGAACAATACTGATGATGTTTATTGACGATCTCAATTTACATTTATTGACTGGATGGAATGTGCTTGTTTCTACAACATATATAATATAGTAGAAATTAAACAATAATAGCGAAATAAAAGTTCACGTATGGAATAACTATTAATATAAATAACAGTATAGGGTTGTTGAGATTGTTAACTTTTGATTAAGATGATGAATCGATCAATGTTAGGCCACCATTAAAAACCTAGAAGCAATGGACAACCGTTTCGTCCCACAATTGGGCTCCTCAGCAGAGCGATAAATGGCATATCAATTAGTTTAGATAATCCTACTAGTCATAAGCTGATACAACCCTCCTAAAGAGTATCAGTAGGTATGATAAATATAGTTCGTTTCTATTTATCAGTGTGTTAAATGTTATAATTAATCGGCAAGTAGTCCATAAGGTCTAGTTAAATTGAATCGAGAACATGGCATTGTCTAGTACTGATGACTTTTAAAATGATAATGTTGAGCTTATCATACAGTTAATTTTGTAGATTGTATATAGGCATCATAACCCATAGCACATAATCGTAAGACTAAAATCAATCTGTTGGCATTATATTTTACGGACGAATTGTTCACAGAGTGTATCTAGAATTTTTGCTCGAAGTCTGTTCATCTGTATGGCCAAAAAAGACAAGTGAAATTTATAAATTACTTTGAACAAACAAAACTACTCACCATAACTGATTATTAGTTTATTGTGTATACAGGTCAAATCACATACTCACGTTTTCTGAAGTATCATCAAGAACCTTGAATTAGTGAAAAGATATTTGGTTCGAATCTACTAAAGCATGCATCTACAACTCTACTGGGAATCAAACTTCAAAATATCTACGTAATACCGTGAGTATTTCACTCGTTAACCAGTGAACAGATATCTAGTAGTATCCTGTTGTAGCTTCATTCCGATTGTGATATTACACAATGGTCTCATAACTACCCTGAGGAACCTCTGTAATTCATCTGAAAGTCATTACCAAATGAGTACATGGTTATTTTACAGTTAATTGGATTATAGAAGCTAGTACACAATGCAAAGAGTCTTCATCAGTAACTGAAATCCAACAATGGACAATTCATTACACTCACGTTCTGTTTTTCATTAAGAAGTTGTAATTTAACGTAAAGAAAAAAGTTTAAAAAGAATTTTCATAGAATGTCGTCACCAACCGTATTGAAGTATTCCAACTACGTTTTGAAATACAGTGAAATGTTACAATGTAAATATACAAATGATTCAAACTAACACCAATCATATAACTGTTTGTTATAAATGGACTTTGAGTCGAATAACCAACAATTGAATTAATTGTTCAAACATAATGATGAATACACTTAAACTATACAACTAGATTGTAAAGTATCATTTTCATATTATTTATATTCAATCCTATTCAATACTATGAACTCAGTTTTGATGTAATTGAATTATGATTTTTTAAACATCATTCAGTGTTATTTTGTATTAAGAGATTTATTAGTGTTTAAATGGTATGATTCTTCAATATCATATGATGTTGAAGTTATGATGAGAATAAGCATTCGTAAGTCACTACTTTTCAACAACGCCATATATTTCCAACTAACTTATCAGAACTCAGTAGCTAAGTAAATAACGCGATGGTGTTTGAAGCGAATGGTACTGAGTTCAAGCACTAGAGTGAACATCAACTCGGAGGTGAAGGTACATCCAGCTGACGAGTCGCACATAAGACGAAATGCGCATCCTGGGTTCCACTATCCATCTTTACATATTCATTTCTTTATCCAATTTCAGACGATTTCTTAATGATTCCACTTTAACTAATCAAAATAACTATTTCACATTGATTATTTTATCCATATGATAAGGAATGTTTGATGAAAAGAAAAGACAAACAATCAATCATATGGTCACTATTATTCGAAATATTGTTAAAAGTCATCCATTAAAATGTAATCCAATTTATATGCAAATTATTTCATCCGATGAATATTGAATGAATGAACGAATGAATGAATGTTGATGAAAAAGAAGCAAACCAAATCTCTTTTGTTGTTGTTGTTTCCCCCCCCCCTTTTTTAGATGAAATAATAAATACAAATAGAGCATTATATCTATTCACAATGTGTTTACTCTTATTGATAGTTAAAAATTCATAGTGAATGTTGTTTGTTGTTTTTGTCGTTGTTGTTGTCAAGTTTACTACGATTTCTACATGACGATGATAATGATGATGATCATCATTTATCATCAATTTTACTTTTTAGCTAAGTTATCTAAACTCTAGAATCCGTTACTTATCATATTTTTGATATAGATCAATAAAATTGTAGTGAACAAGAACACCAGTGGAGACAGTTGAATGTATATGGCACAGAATCACAGGACTTGTTAATAAAATCTAACAATCAAATAGTAAATACGTAATTTGAAAATTGTCTCATAATGACTCAGACTTCAGTGTTCTTGCGTTTTCATACAAATTACATTCTGTTTCCATTCTTTACTGTTTGATCCTCTTGTCTCTCTGCTGCCAGACATTCTGTTCACGACTAACATCATCTACTACTTATGTCAATATAAGTAACACACACCACAAAATAACACCAGAAAGATTGATTTAATTGATCTCTATTTCATCTTTTTCTTTTAACGAATATATTTAAAACTAATAATTTATCACTTCTGTTGATTAAATGTCTACTGCTTTTACGTTGATGTTCTGAATATGTAAAGATTTGTTAAGTAGATTTACAATACCATGATTGTTCAGTTCCTTAGTGTTAATCAAATTCGATCTGTCCAGTTCCAACGTACACACTAGTGTGAATGATTCAATTTCAGGTGGAACATCAGATGATTAATGTAACTGACAAGAAACTTTGTAGAGTGCTAACTAGTACAAAAGCTAAGTACAAGGTTTCCTGTTATCAATGAATGAACATGTTTTCTATTGGATCTATAGAAACGTTTGGTTCAAAGGTCATTTAATTTTTTTAATATAAATCTTAATAATAGAAATATTAGATTAGAGTAATTAAAGAAATCGTAAAACTCTTTCAAAGATTTCAGCCATAGTAATAACCATTAATGAGTTTATTTAATGTTATGTATATGATCTTCTAGAAATCAATAATATTATTCACGCTAAGTGATAATCCCCTTGGAGGTTTCCCCGCAAGGGTTCGAATCCCATCACCGTCGCTACTGATAAGTCTTGTTAATTCGAACGCTTTGTTCGGTTCCTAAGCTATTCTGGGAACCCGCAAGCTAGAACTACACAGCGACCTGAACTCGAGAGAAAAGGCGCAAAATAAGCGAAAAATACTTTACTCCAAAGGTTGATTTTTGTACAGAAAACACTGGTATTTATAGATGTTAACATTTGTTAAATCAACATCATATTTTGGCCAATCCGCTAAAAGACATATTATGTTACTAACCAATACTAGCATACCACATTGATATTCTAGAAAACTCCATCATGCTCTGATTGGCTAGGACTCTTCAACTCCTTTAGGGCCTCTAGAGGCTCCGTTGCTGTTCTCAGGAATCCGACTCAACACTAAGTACATAGAATACACAGAATATTTAGTACTTATTATTTTTCATGTAGGATTTTACTAATGGATTATTAAAGTAATATAAGTAATAAGTTCAATGATAAAAATTGCTCTGAAAAACTGATAAACAAACAAGTCACCAGTTTTATAGTTCATGTGTACATACTTGAAATAGTAAATGACATAGTGTTATAATTTTCGACGCAAACACTTCTTAACCTTTGATAGGGATAGCAAGATAACTAAGAATGAGTAAGAAGCTTTATCCTTAACATTTAGTGAATGTGTACATAAACTAAGTGAGCATGTTCATGGTACTGCAATAATGCAGGAAAACATATGTGAGAAGCGTGACCTTAAGTTAGTGTATAACATGTTTATTTACAATGTTCTACCCAAACTTGAATTTCTCACTACCATATGGTCTTGAAAAGAAAAGGTGGTTTTCCTATGGCATAGTAATTCTCAAACGTGTAAGTTTTAGTCAGAAATATTTAGTCTTGATGACAGATTTTGTCATCAAGCAGTAACAATAGAATTTCGCATTAATTCAGTCAGTCAAACACATCAGTTGGTGACGGATAAGAAGTAAAATTATTTGATTGAGATCATAAAAAGGTTGATGTTAAACCACCACTGAAAACCTGAAAGTACTGGATGACTGCTTCGTCCTATTGTGGGACTCCTCAGCAGTGCTCATTCACGGTCCCACTAGCGTGATTCGGACCCATGGCCTTCAGCCTCGCGCGCGAACTCTTAACCTCTAGACCACTAAGCCAGCATCCAGCGCTGTCAATGTCTAATCTCAATCAATCCACGAAATTTCGCGACCATCTTCGATTGTCTGGGATAGATAATAATAATCTCAACAACCTTATACTGATAATCTCATTTGAGCTGCGGCATTAATTAACACCAAACTGAAAACTATTCAGGGTCGGAAATTTTCGAACAAATATGTGCACTCCATTCTTAGACAACATCAAGAAGAACAACTTAATTCAAACCCATGATTGAGCTTTCAACTTACTTTCATTTCTGTCTACATATAATAGTAATCTTAAGGAAACGTAGAGTCACAAATAATAGTGAATGAAATCTTACTCGTTACAACAATAAAAAAAATAGAGTTTCAAAGCTTCATCATAGCATTCTAGTATACATAAACCAACAGTCCCTAATTTGAAGTAAATAATAACTGAAATGTTACTCCCGAGTAATATTTTTTTCAAGTAAAAATAGTTAATCTGCATATGATGGAAAATCATGTTGAACAATCTACACAAACCTTTTTGATCCCATGAGAACAGATCAATTTTCAGTTGTTCCATGTTCACAGAATAATTCCAAAAAACTTAAATACGATATCATAACCGATAAAATTATTCTGTTTCAAAATTAAAACAGTCACCATTGAAAGTACCTAATGTTTCTCTGCCTTTTTAGTGGATTGAATTCGGAAAAACTAACTACTGAATTTCTATTCAGTAGTTGACAATGCTATCTTAGAATTAGGCGAATCTACATCAACCATTCAAGTACATCAACATTATTATCAGTAAACATGTCTAAGTATCATCCTCTACCCATCAAACGAAAATGTATGATCATTTCTAATTGTACAACGGATAAATATCTTCATAGATGATATAAATTACGCGGTATCAAATATCTCAATGATATACAGCTACGAAAATTTTTATTCCATTATTTGCTAAAACAAACAGGAAACTTGATTTTATCTCAAAACATCTTTTGACATATGACTAATATTCTATTCTGTATTGTTCATTTGGTTTATTGTACACCGAAATTGTTTACATGTATTATGGTATTTTATTTTTTTCCATTCTCAGTTAAGAAAGAGATTTAGTTTGTTGTTGTCTGAACCGGAAATATTGTTTGCCGTATTTTTTTTTGTTCTCTTGAAAGACATGGAGTTTCATTAATTCCATTGGTGGAAAACAGAAATTGTAAATTAAAGTATGAGTTTATGATTCTTTGTCGTTTATATTTATCATAACAATTAATGGATTTGTCTAGCAGTACATGCGTCCTGATTAAATTGCTGCGACAAATAGTTATATCACAAATTTAATCATATTCGGTGTATGGTTATCGGTTTAATCCCAAGAACGCTTTTTTGTCATATTTGGGATTCTTCATCTTGGTGTAATCGTATCCCTGTATTGATATTTACAATGAGATTTGAACTCATTATGCTTCAAACGCCATTCCGTTAATCCAGCCGACGAGTTCTATATAGAACAAAACTCATTTTCTGAATCTCTCTGTTAACCAGTAGTTAAATATAATAAAATCTGTGTTGAATACAATTTGTTACGAAGAAAAAACTGAAATTGTTTATTATGGCTCATTTAAATTATAATTAGTAACTCCAAGGTGTCTGTTCTATCCACAAAGGACCCTACGCTTCTGAATTCAAGCATGTTTAACTTCAACGGTGACAAGTGGTGTCAATGTAGTGATAAATAGTATCTTAAAATGAAACAATATCCAGCAAATACCAAGTTGAATTACTTCCACACGATAAATGAATTCCGCTGACACGCCTTTGCTTATGCGTTAATTGATGTTGAATTAGTTGCACCATATCACTGATTGGTTAAAGTTAAACATGAAAGAAACCAGATACCATACTCAGCATGTTAAATTGAAATTACGCAACAATCTAAAGGCTAATAAGAATGAAATTTGAACAGCTTGATCGTTGTGTTCAGGAATGTTTAATCCTTTATCGTACCATTAACATAACACTCCTTGCTTACTTTATA